ATGGGAGGCATACAAGCCGAATAAATAAATAAATAAATAAATAAATAAATAAATAAATAAAATTAAAAGCTTTGCCTAACGTTGAAGATCAAATCATAAAGCATTTTTTCTTAGTTGGCTGGATTCACACAATATACTACGCTAAAATGAGACTGGCTACCTTTATCCCAGTGTAGTGCAAAACTAGCTGGGTGATTAATTTATGGTTTAGAGTGTTCTGCAAGCCCAGTCAATGTAATAGTTCTGTATGTTTTATAAACAGAGCCCATGACTATGTTCATACAACACACTGAAGTACAAACTAGCCAACCATATTTTAGCCTAATGTGTTCTGGAAACTCAGCCACTGTGAGTAGTTTATGGTTCAATGGATTCTACAAATTCAAATAATTGGGATAAATAAACTAGGGTTCAATTAACTATGAATATATTGAATGAACATAATTTATTTCTATAATGTGGAATCACACAAAAATAAGACTTTCTTAAACCTGTATAAAATGTGCTTATTCTTCCTGTATGTATGTATATGTATTAATAGCCAAAACTAAAGCTAACAGATATGGACTGCAAAAATCCAGGCAATCAGAAGCAAAGAAATACAGAAATCTGAGCTCTTTGCTGCCATCTAGCAGGTATCTGGATTTTACTGTTTTACACTCTAAATTCACAGGCTGGTTTAGCTAAAACTTTCATCTACAAAACCAATTCAGATGGGAGGAGTGAACTTCAGCTATTATATGAAAGAAGAGATAAATGGGTCTGAAAGTTTTTCTTGTCCAGAAATACCTGTTACTAGGATAAATAACATGCTTTGAGGCTTCTGCTAGGACATGGCTTTAATATAAAGCACATTCTAGTTGCATGGCCAAGAGCAAAAGGAAATTAGTCTGATGTGTTTCACTTGGAATTATGGAGAGAGAAAGTATTATAGAATGACTACACTTAAACTTGGCCAGAGGAAATAAAGGGGGATGCAGGAAGGAACTGAACATGTCCTACAGGTATGATTATTTATTTTTCTCAATCGCAAGGTGAGAAAGCTCCTTCTTGTACCTTACTTGAAAACAACCACAGGAAGCCAAGGTGTCAGAATTTGCACAGTACATTTAAACTATTTATCTCATCCATGGAGGTCAATTAAAGGAAAGTCTTCAATATTGTTTCCCACAGAGGGAAACGATTCAAAATGCATACATGCTTTTCTATTTAATCCACTGTGCAGCATAATACATCACTACGTGGCAGAGTCTAGGTTAGAAAAAGCATCTAAAAGAATCTGTAACAGTAGGTGTCTGTCCTTTCAAGCTCAATGGAGATTCCTGTTCAATTCGGTTCTCCATCCAGCCTGCCACTTTCCCCTGCTTCACTTGGAGAAAAAGGAAATGGTTTCTCTTTGGTTTACAGAACAGCTTCCTTCGTGGCAAAGCAGAAAAAAGCACAGCTCAATGAAATGAGGAAGAGAAAACTGCGAGTACGCCTAAGGATGGTCTGTGGCCCCTACGACCATTACAGTACTATAATGCGGTTCTCGACCGCAAAGCTGGGTCCAATTAATCCCTCTTCCAGCCGAAATCAGGTTTCTCGCTTCCTTCTTTCAAAAACCGTTCAAAAAGACGAACGGAGTGTTTATTCAAGACACAAAGTGAACAAGCATGCTATCTGCCATGCCACTCGTTTTCTTCATATAGGAAAAATGCGAGGCTGAGAATGGAAAAGAAATCCTACCGGAAGGAGACCACCCACTGGCGCTATATTTGAAAATAAATAGCGTATATGAGAGAATTCAAAATAATCTGAGCGCCCCTCGTAGCCAGAGCCTGGAGACAGAACCGCTCCAGCAAGCCCAACGGAAGAGCCGCTCTCGTCTCAAATTGATGACGCTTCAGTAGGCGCAGTTAGTGTCGTCTATCTCTCTCGCGCCTAGGTGTTTGTGGGTATCGCGAGAGTTGTTGCGTCGGCAGGTCATTGTGCCGGTAGGAGCGGGATGGCTGAGGAGCTTCGCGGAGCCGACCTGGTAGGCTCAGCGGCTCGGCCATCTCTGACGAAATGGCACCCCGAGACCGACCGGTAGCGGCACCTCCTTCCGCCATGCGCAAACGCGGGGCTCGCAAGCGTCTCAAGTTTCGGGCCGACGACGTCTGCTTAGAGCGGAGTGAGTAGTGAGGCCTAGGTGTGATGTCTGATGGCAGCCATTGTCCACTGATCCAGTGCCTGAACACTTGCTTTTTTTCCGCAGTGACCGTGGCCGACTATGCAAATTCGGATCCTGCTGTAGTGAAATCCGGACGCGTGAAAAAAGCTGTGGCCAACGCGGTGCAACAGGAAGGTGAGTTTGGCCGAAAATGCTCGCAGGGTTTTTATCTTAAAAGCTGCGCCTACTGAACCCAGTTTTCCGGGTTTATACAGAACTCTGAAGCATAACGTAACCACACTGGTTGAGATTCCACGACAAAGCAGGCTAAAATGTAGTGTGAATTTGTGGCTCAGTGTGTCTTGGAAACATAAGACTACTAGTGTGATCCAGCAGTAAAAACAATTACACCTTGAGCTTTTTAAAAGTATGTTTTGTGATATTTGTGGGTAATCCATAATTTTCTTTTGTCCTATAGTTTCTCTGGAAAACTGTCAGGCAGTATCTTGCTTTCTGATACAAAAATCACTTCAAAAAAGTATAACATTTGGCATATGCTTGCAAATTTATCTGCTCTGTATTTTTGTTTTTAGCTTCTTGATTTGTGTTCTTTTTCACTCTACCTTTCTCCTTAGTCATACAGGTAGTCCTTGCCTAACAACCACGATTGGGACTGGAATCTCGGTCATTGAGCTAAGCGGTCATTAAGCGAGATGCCCACATGACTGCTTCGCTCAACAGCTGCAATCTGGGCACTGCCAGTTGCGGTCATTAAGCGATCTCCCAGGTCTGCACAGAGCTAAAATCCTTCAGCAGACAGCTCTTTTGCTCCATCCTCTTTCCCCTCCCCTCTCTCAGCAGTGAATGGAGCCCACCACTGAAAGAGGGGAGGAGAAAGAGGATGCATGAAAGAAAGAGGACAGAGCAAAAGAGTGACAGCTCCCCTCACTAAATGGTGAACAGAGTACCTGAAGATTTGAGGTCTGCGCCTTCACAGCGCTGAAGGGGGAGGGTAAACCTTGCAGTGGTGTGAAGGCAGGGACCTCAAATCTGAAGATTTGAGCTCCATAACTGCCCACCACCACATCCCCTCCACTTGCAGCCTTCCCTGCCGGCTTCCAGTGGGAAAGCCAGCAGAGAAGATTGTAAATGGCAATCACATGATCAGGGGGCACTTGGCAGCCAGTCATAAATGCAAGCTGGTTGCCAAGTGCCCGAAATGTGGTCACATGACCACGGGGAAGGCAGGCATGATGTTTTATGATAGCCGGAAGTGCTTTACAGACTGCAAAGCACCCTTTCCAACGTTGTCATAATTTTGAACCATCATTAAACGGTCATTAAATGAGGACTACCTGTATTTGTTTTGTGCAGATGGCAGATACATTACATCATGAACTGCCTATCAGAAGTAAAGTAGATGTTCCTCTGTTTTTTCAAAGTCTTTCAAACTCTCCCCTATGAGTGAATTTATTCAAATACATATAGGATACACATTGAAGAAAAAAGATACAAATTGTATATATATTGTGAACTTGATTAGCAATAGTTCTACATAAACTTATGCAAACTAACATTTTTAATGTGCATCTTAATTGGGTATCTTGAAGTGAAATGGGAATTATTATAAAGTCTGAATTCTCAGATTCTTATTCTTGAATGTTTGATTTGTTTATTTGTAGCTTTTAAGATTAGAAGACAATTTGAAACATTCAGCACAGAATGTTAAATAAAGCAAATTCTGATTACAAATTGGACATTATCAACTCTAGGTTAGTAATTATGTAAAAGCTTATACAAGGGTAGATTGTTTTAAGAACTCATTGCCACCATGCAGAAATAATAAACTTAAGAGTTCATATATAAAATATTAAAGTTTAAATTGATGGTCTTGTCTCCCATATCTACTTTCCTGGTAACGTTGTATCTTAAATGTTTGTATGAAGGGTGGCGGTATTATATGTTTCTTTCCTGTTCTCAGGGAATAAATAATGGTAAACTTTTAGGAACAGATGCTATAAGACACGGTAAATTGTTTCTTTTTAAAGGATAATGAACAAAATAATTTCTGTGTGTTTAATTAATTACAGCATAAACATTCAACTTTTCACAATAAGTTTTCAAAGTCTTTTCTTTCTTTTAGTAATATTTGTTTTCACCTTTTTTTCTCACTGTCCACCCATGATCTGTCTCTCTTCTTTAACTCTCTAAGTTCTTTTAACTTCATGGACATAGATGTGTAATCTTTATTAACATTCTAAGCCATCAGCAAAATTTCCTTGCATCATTGTAGTTCTTACTTTTCAAGGATAAATGAGCAAAAATATTTGCATGAAGGAAGTTCCTAAAATGCAGAGAACACAGAAAGGTAGTTTAAAATTTAGCCTAGAAAGGTCTAAATGTCTTAGGATCTAAGTACTTGAAAACTTGAGCTTTCCTCAAAATCACTTAACCTGGCTGGGGAAATCATGTTTGTGGTTCCACAGGTGGGTCTTCCTGTGGAACACCATGGCAAGGATATTGGGCCTTTCTGTGATAGGGCCACAATTACCAAACTTTTTCTTAAGGGAGGTATGAGTGCCCATGCTGTTTTATTTTTAATAACAACTGAAGATAAGTACTTTCATTCTTAAATTTTTACAGTTTTACTGTAGATTGTATTATCTAATTGTTTTATTGAAGATTGCACTACTTTTGAAACCTTTGCAAGGAAGGAAGGGAGGGAGGGAAGGGAAGGAAGGGAAGGAAGGGAATATGTACATACATTGAGTCAGAGGATTTTAAAGATTAATCTACAATTGAGACCAGAAGTCTTCCTCTTGGGATTGATGGACAAACAGTTGGGAAAAAAAATCTGGAACTTTGTTTTTGTATATGATAACCGCAGTGAGTTTATTGTATGCACAAAGATGGAAAGATCTGGCAATACCTACAATGGAGGAATGGTTGGAGAAAATGATGGAACTTGCTGAGATGACCAAGTTGACTCCTTTGATCAGAGAAAAGACAATATCTATGTTTATTGCTGACTGGAAACCCCTTATGGACTTTTTGTATAAAACAGACAAAAAT